GGCCTTCTTGGCAGCTTTATTGGCTAAAATAATAAATTCCGCTTTTTTATCGGGATCAGTCTCATTGTCGGCCTTTTGTAGGTTTTCTTTGTAAGCACTTTCGGCCTCCCGAGCCTCTTTTTCTAAATCCAAAAGTTCTTTTTGGTGTTTAGGTTCCAGTTTTTCAATAGCGGTTAAGTTCCTTTGAAGTTTAACCGAAAAATTATCTAAAAATTTTTTTAAGAAATTACCAAAAAAATCATTTCAAATACAACAAATATTACCGATAGAGGTGGAAGAGGTAATGCGACATTTGCCAATAAGACCTTGGATTTTAGCAATTAATTGTTGCTTATTATTGTTAAATGTTTGCTCGTTAGCCGACAATTTAATATTGTTAATGTCATCGGTAATGTTAGCAATACTATTAAAGAAGTTTGCCAATACTTCGGCATCTTCATCTAGTTTATGTGAACCTCCTCATTCACAGCGACCACCTCGCCAATATCCAGCATCACCAGCAAATTTAGAATCGCCTTTTTCTTTGGCTTTTTGTCGCGGTCCTGTTACTTTTAAAAAAGTGCTTACTAGGTTTTCGGCAGTGGTAAAATTGCCCGAGACATTTACTTTCTTTTTTCTGTTTTTCCTTGTCATATTTTTTTAAATATTCTTCATTTGTTTTACTTCTTCCGTTTTTTTGCTTATACATGACGATTAATTATCAATTGCCTTCAATTAATTAATTTCTGTTTAACTTGGTTTTCTCTTTCTCGATAGTAATTTTTCAACCTTCAATATCCTGCTAATAACTTTTCACTATAAGGGACTCCGAACAATTTAACTTTTTTCTTAAATTCTTTAATGTCTTCTTCTGTAATTTCTTCCAATTTAAGAGCACGGTAATTATCTCGGCGATTATCAGAAGGAACGAGAGTAACAAAGTAGCCAGGATAGCGTGGTAATTTTTCTAGACCTTGCTGTCGCATTCATTCTCTATCTTCCTCATTATACTCACGTTCGGGTATTACTATCCTATTTCGGTCATAATCCTGGGTTACTCAAAATATAATGCTCATAAGAAGACGGAGAATTTGTTCTTCATTAGCATTATCAGGTATTACTTCGCGGATGGTTTCTCTTATAGAACCTAGTGGTCATTCCAATCTAAAAAAAGGCCGACAATGAGACTGATCCCGATAAAAAAGCGGAATTTATTATTTTAGCCAATAAAGCTGCCAAGAAGGCC